TTTATGGAATTCGTATCAAATTAGGAGGAGAACAAGCAAAAATTTATTTTGTGATTTGAAAAGAGAGAAAATTAGATATTATTTCTTTCAACCTCATTATTCTTCTAATTTCTTTCATCTTTTATTTTGTCTTGATTTTTTGTATCTTTAAAGTTTTTTTTTCTTATTTATCTTTAATTAAAATTTATATATATTTTCTTAAAAAAGAATTTAAAAAGATGATCATATTCAGTTCCTTTCCTCATCAATGTTATTAATCTCATAATTAGTGTTATTTATATTATTTTCTTAATTACTTTTTTTTCTTTCATTTAATTATTCATTTGAAGAAATTAGTTATTATAACTTTATAAGAATTACACATGTATTTTTACATAATTGATTTGTTATTTTAAAATTTTTTGGATCATTCTTCATCTTAAAGTTTCTATCTATATGTAATAATAAAGCTAAAATAGAAAATGTGGGGTGACACCTTCTTAGCAATAGATACTTATTTATTCTTATCAATGTTTTGACATTTTTTGTTATTTTTTCCTTAAAATAATTGTTGCCTCGATTTTTAGTTTTAGTTTTATTTTTTTAGCATTTTCTAATTTTAAAAGACTGAAAAATTTATATTGAAAATTTACAAAAAATAAAAATGATTTATTTAACTCCTATCATCATCAATATTATTATTAATTTGTTTTACTTCTTTTCTTAATCTTCATTTCATCATTAATGTAATTTATATCATTTTCTTATATATACATATATTTGTGACATTTCTTAGAAGTTAGGATTAATATTTATTTAATTTTTTAAAATTTTGAATTCTTTTGTCATACTAAATACAACATGTTTTATTATAATTACATTTAATATATTAATGAATATGTTGTACGAATGAAAAGAAAATTATCATTTCACAAAAACAAAGGTTAAAATATAATTTATTATGGTTAAGGAAAGATAAAATTATTATTCCAATATCCATAACCATATATAATACATTAAAAATTAATTGAAAAGCTGTAAATGGAAAAGGAATCACCATTTAATGAATCATTATTTTTAAATTTTTGAATCATTTCTTCTTCTAAAAGTTTCTATCCATATGTAACAATAAAGTTAAAATAGAAAATGTAGTGACACCATTCTTAGTAATAGATACTTATTTATTTTTATCAATTTTTTCTGACAATTTTGGTTATATTTTTCTTTAAAATAATTGTTGCCTCAATTTTTATTTTTTTTAAATTTTAAAAGATTGGAAATTTTATGTTAAAAATTTAAATAATAGAAAAAATGATTTATTTAACTTTTATCATCATCAATACTACTAATTTATTTGACGTTTTTTCTTAATCTTCATCTAATCACTAATGTTATTTATATAATTTTCTTAAATCACTTATTTTTTCTTTTTTAACTCTTTTATATATATAAAGTTGGATATGTAAATGATGATGTGACATTTCTTAGAAGCTAAGATTACTATTTATCTAATTTCTCCAATTTTTGAGTTCTTTTGTCATACTAAATACAATATGTTTTATTATAATTACATTCAATATAGTAAACAATATGTTCTAGGAATTAAAACAAAATTATCATTTCAGAAAAATAAATGTTAAATTATAATTTTATTATGATTAAGGAAAGATAAAGATATTATTTCAATATCCAATAACCACATTCAATACATTAGAAATTAATTGGATATAACTGTAAATGAAAAATGAATCACCATTTAAGGAAAATAAATGTTTGCAATACCATAATAATTAAGGAGAGAGTAAGATATTATTTTAATATCCTAATTCAGAACTTTTAATCTACTACTCAATTAAAAAGAAAATGCATTTAATAACATTAAAAAGTTATTAGTTTAATATTTTTTCTCATTGTACTAATTCAATTCAATCAAACTTAATTTTAAAGATAAAATAACAGCTTCATGTTAATTGTTATCAATATATTTTAAGAAATTATCGTGAAAAGGCTTTTCTTGCACCTTATTTTAATTTTCATATACTATTATTATTTTTTCTGTCATTTTTCAATGATTTTTTATTTCGATTTAAAATTTAATGTTTATTCTTAAAACTCTGATGGTACAATTAAGGTGGAGTAGAATATAATAAATGATGATTCTTTTCTACTAAATAAGAAGATATAACGAAATTGAAAGGGTGAATTTTTTATTTTTTTTAAATGGATAGGAAATTCTATTAAGGTATCATTACGTCATCATTCAATATATTTTTAATATAAATTTCATTTGCTGATGCATTTGTTTAGTACTCCCTCTGTCCCTAATTACTTGTTCACTTTTCCTTTTATAGTTGTCTCTAATTACTTGTCCATTTTGACAAATCAAGAAAGAACATTTTTTTACCTATTATACCCTAAATTAAATGAGTACTTTGAAAATTGCAGAATTTTTCATCTACTTCATAATTAATAGGGGTAAAATGATAAACTCACTATGTCATTAATTGATTTCTTAATAAATGTGTCAATTTAAAAGTGGACAAGTAATTAGGGACAGAGGGAATATTACAATGTTATTTGACATTATGAGATATTTCTTACACATTTAAGGAGAATGGTACACCGGAATATATATTATATATTAAAGGATCAACTTCATGCAATGGAAGAATTTGTTATTAGCAAATATATTTTAACTTATTTGATAAAAAATATATTCTTCCTCATTTAATAGATGTAAAATTTGTAGCTTTATTTTTTTCACAATCTTCATATTATTAAAACAAATAATAATATTACGATTAAACAATAGAGTAAATATAAAATTAATCAAAAATATTTAATTTTAATGATCGTGCGAAGTGCGACCAAATTCTCTAATTTAAAACAAAAAAGTCAAATTTAAATGGGTCTACTATAGAATTCCTAGAAATCCAACTTCAAAAATTATGTTAAAAGTGGAAACTAAAAAGTGAAATAAATTTAATTGAGAGTTATCCTTCGTCTGTCCCATTTTATGTGACTCTTTTTATTTCTCAAGAATCAAATAGTTTAAGTTTAACCATAAATTTGCGTATGATATCTTCAATTTTTTAAAAATGAAATTTATATATTTGTAAACTACGTAAAAATCAAAACATTATAATTCATAATAATTAATAATTCAAAATATTTTAAAGATCTATGAAAAATTTAAGATGAAAGATAAACTAAAGAGAGTAAAAGGGGAGAATGGAAAGTAGAAAAAAAGAATATTTAATCTTTTTGGTGGGCCTCAATGTACAATTTCTATAGCTTTTAGTCCAACTCTTTAGTGCAATGTTGGTCCTCCAAACTCCCATTTCTAAATAAGAAGTAATATAATATATATTGTGTTCTGTGCTTGAAATAGTTGTGTATTAGAGTGTATATATTTTTGTATCTAAGCTTTCCATCATTAGATTAATATTATTTTCGAAAGAAGATAAACAAGAAGAGAAGAAATTAATGAGATCTTTTCCCATTACAAATTAAATAAAAGAAAATATATTTTTCAATACATTTTGTGAATAAAAAACTTTTAATTTTTTTTTTCCATAAAACTTTTTTTTCCCTTAATAAATGACCTATAGAATCCCATTCCAAGTATTTGAGTTGATGACAAAAAAAAAAAAACGTAATTTAACCATACATATTATTATCTGCCCAACAATCACGGCCTAAGCTGAGCATTATTGTTGATGTAAGGACAAAAATGCTTAATAATTTCCCTTTTTGTCAATAAAAAATGTCAACAAACCAATTGTTAAACTACTTCGAGACCAAATAAAAATAGAAAGGGAATATTAATAGTAGACATTAATATTGTGTGTGATTGCACGTGTTCAATTCGAATTGAGACTCTAAAAGGTGTGTTCAGTTTTAATTAGATTTATTGAAGGCTATTCAACCCAAAATTTTAGTTCATGCCTATATAAAGAGTACTAAATTTCTTAAAAGGCATCTCCATATATTTCACAAATGTCATGGAATATTCATATAGAGGTCAAATCTAAATCATTCTAGTTTGAGAAATATGCCACTAACGGCCCTCGAATCATAGATAAATTTTATGAGAGAAAAATCAAGGGAGGAACAAAATTGTACCCGCACTATTATCAATAAAATATTCATATTTCTTTAGATTTTATTTGTGTGGTTAAAAACCTCTTTAATTTTAAAAAAAATAACATTTGTGTGGTTATTTATTTTTCATATGTTTAAAATTTGTTGCAAATATTAATAATTAAAAAAATGAAAAAAAAAAATATGGTACTCCCTCCATTCTATATTAATTTAATTTTTGAGGCATTTTTCATTTTTCATTTTTCATTTTTCAAATTAACTTAATTGTTCAGTTTTCAAGATTACTTTGAGTATTCTTCCAATTTTACCATTCATTAGTTAGTATTGGAATTAGTGATTAATTAATATTTAGTTATTTTAATCATAAATTTGACAATAATTAATAAAGGTAAAAATGGAAAACTATGTTTAATTTATGTCTTAATCTATTTTTCTTAAAGGGTGTGAAACACCTTAAAAATTAAATTAATATGGAAGGGAGGGGGTAGTATCACATCAAATTGACATAAACAAGTGAGCAAACAAAGTAGTTGTTGTGTTCATTAATTGAGAAGGAGACATTTGAAGTTTTCAACCACCACCGCTTCTTGAGGGTAACACACCAACCCCCACTTTCATTTGTAAAGTAAAATTAACAAATAGTACTATTTTTATACGTACCAATTATTTTCATTTAACGTTACTCACTACCTTTCTTCTATTTTTATGAATTTAAGGGGTTTTTCAATTATTACACAGACAAAAATTCTACATTAATTAATTAAAAGAATTTAATAAAGGAACGAATTGGGAGCGTGAAAGATAAAAAGAAAAAGCTTAAACTTTCTGTCGTTTTTTCCATTCCTAACTTTTCTGTTCTACTTAAGACCAATATTGTCTTCTACTTACATCTATCTATCATTTTGAGGATCAACAAAATGTTTCTAAAAACCTCAATTTCCACTACCAAAAAGCTCATCCAGAAAACGTTATACAATGTGAAATATTTATTCTCTGGTGGAGGTGGAGGTGGTGGATATCAAAAGATTCCAAAAACCTACACAGAGCAGAAGAGGATAATAATAATGTCGTCTCTGCCGCCAACAAAGGAAGACCAAGTTTCAAAGAGGAAGGAGATAATCATGTACGATGGAATAAATAAGAAATATGAAGAAAAAAGAATTAGAGATGAAACGAGTTATTTGGTGGCTCAAAAGCTAGACGAATTGAAAATGTTAGAGAATTACAAAGACGAACATGCTCTCGATATTGAACAAGTTCTTTATTACTACTCGCGTCTTACTTGCCCCGCTTATGTTGAAATTGTGGACAAATTTTTCATGCAAATTTACTCTGAACTTTTTGGAGCTAGTACAGTTAATTAACTTGTAATACTAATTCATTCTTCTTTTTCATCATTTTCATCTGCTATGGAAAATAACACCTTCGTCCTTCACTTGTCTACCTACCTCCATTTTCTCATCTCAAATAAATATACACTATATATTTTATATTTATTTTCGAAAAAGGCTCATAGTTACCCTCATCAAGCTTATTTTCTATATTTGCCCTTTTTCATTCCATTTAAAATGCATATTTTTTCTTGGATGGTTAACTCGATCTCATGTTCCCACCCGTATTTCTTTTGTGGAGTCTATGTGAATTTATTAATATCTTGATTAAAAAAAAAAGAATAGGGTAAAAAATATCCCTAAATTATGTAAAATGAATAAAAATGTTCTGAGTTGATAATTTGGTTCGAAAATGTCTTTGTCGTGAATAGTTTAGTCCAAAAATGTCCTTGTCGTTAATAGTTTGGTCTAAAAATATCCCTTTTCAAATAAATATATTGGTATTTCTTTTCTTTTTAAACACATTCTTTACCTAATGATGATTTTTTATATTAGAGAATGTTTGTCCTACTTCAATTCACAAAAGATTAAGAAATAAAATATTTTCGATTTTATTTTATAGTTATCATAAATGAAAATTAATGATGGGTCACTATGATCTTCTATATATGACCTATATTATCAGTTAAAAAGGTACATGGAGTTATTTTGTTTTAATTTTAAAAATGAGATTAAGAAGTACAAAAATATTATTTATTAGTTAAGGTGATTTTAAAAAAAGGAACAAGAATACAATTCTTTAAAAAAATAGTATTTTTGTATAGAAATGCCCTCATATTAACACCTTCATTAATTTTCATTTAGATAACGATAAAAATTTCTAATAAATAGAAAATATTATTATTTCGTAATATTTTTTGAATTGAAGTAAGATAAATATTTTCTAATTTTAAAAACCATCATTAGAAAAAGAATGTGTTTAAAAAGGGCATCTTTGACCCATTAATAAATATATATATATAAGGATATTTTTGGACCAAACTATTGACAATAAGAGCATTTATGAATTACCAAACTATCAATGGAGGATATTTTCGTTCATTTCACATAGTTTATTTTTATCGATTTTCCATAAAAAATAATCTCAATATAATTCACTACTAAAAAACTGCCGAAAAACAACGGTTGAAAGCGATGGACTGCATCGCTTTTTTGGTCAAAATCGACGAAAAAGTGATGCAGTCACTTTTGTCCTTGATGCTTTTCGAAAAGCGATGGACTGTGTCGCTCCAAAATGACGGACTGTGTCAATTTGGTTAGTTATTTTTTTATTTTTTTAGGAAAGCGACGGATGATGTCACTTTTTATTTTTTCAGAAAAGCGACGGACAAATTGCCGCAGTCCGTCGCGTTTTATGGAATATTTTTTTAAAAAGAATGCATAAAAGCGACAGCCAAAAGGTCTCTTGTCACGACCTGATTTCTCATGTCATGGTGGCGCCTACTACACCCCACCAGTAGGTAAGCCAAGCCCTTAGCCCTGAGCCATAAGCAACTGGCTACCAAGCGAAAGTCAACAACAAGGAACATAAAGCTTATAACGAAGCGAAGAAAGGGTAATCAATAGAAATGCAACAGAAGAAACTATTCCAAGACTTGACATCAATCAATAATCGAGCATCTAATCAAAATAAGAGTACAAAGTTTGTTACAAATACAAAGTAAGTACAAGTTTTATCTGAACACAATATAAGACTAAGCCTAGCAAAAATCAGACAGAAACCGACAACTTCAAAATCCTAGATCCCACCCTAGTTTCCGAGACTCCAAGATGCTCTGCACGACTCCAAATCAACGGCGATAATGTAACACCCCAAAAATTTCTAAGCTAATTCCTTAATTGCATGTAAAATTAAATAAGGTGATCCTTAAGTTACTCATATGTGTAAAGGTCATTTCTTTGGTGTTCAGATGGATTTAGATATGATTTAAGGTCACAAGAACCCCCTACCACTAAGTTAAGCTGAAATCTTCATTTTCGATTAAGTTTTGACATAAGATTCTACTTAGGTCAATTTCAAATGATCATATCTCCTAGCACATAATGAATTAGGTGGTCTGTGACCTACCAAATTAAAGGTCTTTGAATCCTCTTTCCAACGCCACCAAGTTTGCCTCATATCATGTCCAGAGTAAAAAGTTATGATTGTTTTACCAAAGAGACCCCAACCAACGAGCCGTGGGTTGAACGACGACCCGTCCTGTCAGGCCGTCGTTAGAGTATTGGGGGTCAACTTTTGGGACCCAAATCCTACGAATCCAACCGATGGGCTGTAGGTGAACCTACTAGCCGTCGTTTGGACCCGTAAATGGACTTTTGAGCCTTAAAAGCTCAATATATAAACCATGGATGGGATCTACGGTCCGTGGGTCAAACCACGACCTGTAGGTGGTCCCGTGGACAATTTTTGACAGCTTTTAAAGAGGGGTAGTTCGGTATTTTCCCACCCTCTCTAAGCCAAACCCACGACTTTTTTTCACCTAATTAAGGTCTAAATATTGTCAAAACATTATTTTATGTTCTTTAACACTTCAAAGACTTAGAGCAAGGATTCAAGAGGTAAAAGGCTAGGGTTTTCTATCGTTATTCGAATTTCATCGATTTCTCCAAGAACTTTGTTCTTCCCAAGTATGTCAGGCTATCATAGTGATGGACTGAGTTCATCCTCACGCCCTACATCTACTTTCTACCAGTAAAGAATAATCTAGGATTACATCCTTAGTTTTGATATTTCTTGAGATGAGTTCGTTGTTGAATTTCGAGTTGTTATTCCTAATTTTTGAGTTGCTATATATTATATATTGAAATTCTTGAGTTGATTATTCATGCCTATTTTTCAGCATGAACCTTATTATTTGAAGTATTCACTGAGTTATTGATGAGAATCTAATTAACCGAATAATTATCTTAAATTGATTTTCTCATAAGGTAAAAAAGAGTTTTTGAGGAAAGTTTAAAGAGGCGTTTTGAGTAAAGCTTAGGGGAATTGTTGACTCCCAAATTTATTTATTTTTTAAGTGAGAAAGGAGAAACTTTAATTTTTAAACAAGTAATGAGTTCAGAGTTAATTCAGAGTAGTTACCTCTTTTAAGAGGATAGTTGAGCAATTATCTCAAACCAGAGAAAGAGTAATGTTTTTATACATTGAGCAAAGGTAAATATTATTGAGAATAGTATTAAGCACCGATATGAGGGAGAGTTCAGAGAACTCACAGCCCCCATAAACCATGTCTTGCCAACATGGGTACATGATCATACTTTTTAGACGAATCCTTAGATCCTTCATGCATAACTTAGTGGATCCACTTAATTGAGGTGCTCTATATCCCGGCACGATATAGGACAATTCTGGAAGCGTGGACATGACGTTGTATCATCACTTAACTTATAGTGATGGTTTTCGGTTAGAGAATCTCCCAATAGAGTTAAAGTGTATTTTTATATATCACTTATTATGTTAAAGTTCAGAAAATGAGAAAGTATTTTTGTAAATTTTTATATGATTTCACTTCCTTATTTCTTTACATTTAGTCGAGTATATATCTATGTCTATTGCAACCTTTTCATTCAGTTGTTTGGTATTCAACTATATTACATACTCGTACATTCAATGTACTGATGTCATTCGACCTACATCTTTTATGATACATATAAAGGTGTTCAGGATCATCAATAGGTGTTTCGTTGAGATCACTTTGCACTTCAGAAACTTTTGGTGAGCCTCATTGCTTTTCGGAGGATTTTACAATTTACTTTCATGTTATTGTTGAGTTGTCGTGGGTCTTGTCCCGACTTATATCCTAGTATTAGAGGCTTCATAGATAGTTAGTGTTGATGAGTCTCTCAGTATTTCCCTTTTATTTGAGATTGTTTTGCAAAGTATTATTATTATTGCACTTAAGTATTTTTCGAAAGTTGAGTCAAGCATTTACTTGAGTTTGAATGTTATAAATTCAATTTTAAAGCTTATTTATTCTTGAGTAAGTCTTCCACTAGAGAGTCAGTCAGGCCAAAGGTTCGCTTGGGGATCATAAATGGTTCTCGAGTGCCGGTCACGTCTAGGGTATAGGCTCAAGGCGTAACAAATAACTCAAAATACTATCTACAGGGAGCATAAGTGTAGCATGAGTATAAACAATGGTACTCAGTTGGCATCGGTTGACTGAACTCAAAAGAGAACACAAGCATAAACAACAAGTAATAAGGAAAACATATCACATATAACTAAAGAGGAGATAATAAGTAGACAACAAATAAGGAACAAAAATAGGATACAAAGTATAAGAAGTCGAGTCAAGAATGTACCTAAAACGCAAGCCAACAACCTATTTGCAAGCAACTAAGATATACAAGTCAATTGCCCATGATCACGAGGACTCACAACCACAATTCAAAAACCAAAGCTTATAAGCTATCAGATAATCAATAATAGAGAACATAATATAGTCAAACAATAATCTAACCAGACCCCCATAAACCCCGAAGGTACAAATAACAAATATAACCCAACTGGCCCCCATAAACTGTAGGATGCAATCAAAAAACAAATATACTGGTGATAGGTAATGCATATGAATGCAGAGTATACAGTAGGACCATCAGTAACAATTTGTAACCATTAGTAACAAATAAGGGCCACCCAGCTAAAGAGTAAACTCCAAAGGGCATCAGTAAGGACCGCCCAGCTAAAGAGTATACTCCCAGAGGCGTCAGGACACCCAAATAAAGAGTAAACTCCCAGGAGCATGTCGAATTCGAAGAGGATAAGACCAGACCTCTAATATTGTAACAACCGGAAACTAGTAAACTAAACTAGAGAGTTTTAGAGCTTGACGTGACGGTTAGAATCGTAAATATGACTTCTCGTACTTAGAATGAAGGTTTTAGGGTTAGGGTGTCAAGGTACAACACCCCAAGGACCAACCAAGGGTCCTTGAGGGGGACCCAAAATAACCCCTAGAAACTGCCCAAAA